GGACTCCTGTCATGACAAAAATACCTAATCACATATCCCTTTTAAACAGTTTTCTCCCTCATCTGTTTCAATGTAGTATACATTATTGAACCCATCTTTCTCAGTCTCCCCCCAACCCCAATGTCAGTCCTGTTTTACAACAGTGGCAACATTCAGTATTTGTCCTTTTTGTGACTGAGATACTTCACTCAGCATAATGTCCTCCAGGGTCACCCATTTTGAGTAATACTGCATGAGTTCCTTATTTTTCAATGCAGCGTAGTATTCCGTTGTGTGAATATACCACAGCATCTCTATCCATTCGTTTGTTGATAGGCACTTAAGTTGTTTACAACTCCTTGCTGTTGTGAACAAAGCCACGATAAACATGGGTATGCATATATCTGCTTGATGTCAGTTATGGTCTCTTTGGAGTATATTCCAAGTAGTGGAATTGCTGGGTCAAAAGGTATCTCTATTTGTAATTTTTTGAGAAAGTGCCATACCGCCTTTCATAGTGGGTGCACCATATTACACTTCCACCATCAGTGAATAAGGGTTCCAGTTTCTCCACAACCTCGCCAGCATTTGTTGCTTACTGTTCTGTTAAATTTTGCTTTTCTGATTGGGGTGAGATGTTATCTCATAGTTGTTTTGATTTGCTTCTCTTTTAGAGGTAGGGATTTTGAACATTTCTTCATGTGCTTGTTGGCCATCTGAATGTCTTCTTTGGTGAAGTGTTCATATTCTGTGCCCATTTTTCAATTGGATTATTTACCTTTATCTTGTTGTGGTGTGATGTATACTTTTTTATCAGTGTTTTTAGTTATCCTGAAGGAGCTCTGGTGGCTTAGTCCATAGGAAGTTGTGTTGCTAATCCAAAAGCACCATCTCTTTGGTGGTTTGAATCCATCAGCAGCTCCTTGGGAGAAAGATGAGAGCCGTCTCCCTGCTGGAAGGTCAGAGGAGACAGTTCCCACTAGATGGCAATGAGTTTCTGAAAAGTTATTTAAGAGATCTAGTTCACAAGGAGAGCTCTGGTGGCCTAGTGAAGAAGGATTTGTCCTGCCAACTCTAAGGCATGTCTGGATCCACTATCTGCTCATGGCAAAAACATGAGCAGTTTCTTCTGAAAACCCACTAGAGGGTCTGCTATGAGTCAGTTCTAACTCAGAAACACACAACAACAGTTCTCCACAGCGGCATAGATAAAAGTTCTTCCTTGATTGTTTTATTTATTTGATTTTTACTCTGCTATGAACTTATCTATTGGCTTAATATAATGAGGCTTTTCTTTCTCCATAGGTTCCAGGAGAAGGAAGACTCGTGATTTTTTTTTTTTTCTGGATTGCTCCACAGTTTCTGCCCTCTTCTCTTCCTTGGAACATGAAGAATATTGAGTCTTTAGATTCTCATCCATGACTTTTGGTTGCAGTATCTTGTTCTCAGAAGGAGAACCACATTTTTGTATGGGAATTACCATTGTCCCCAAAGCATTCTTATTCCTACTTAAGTTTCCTTATTAAAGTTGTATTTTGCTAGAAAATTCTGACATGTGTATGCTATTTTATAAGTCACTTTCTTTTAAGAGGAATAGAAATGAACTCAGCAATAGATTCTTTCAGCATCCACAGCAACTATGGTAAGATAAATTAGCAGTATATGACAAAGAAAAAGGGAAAACAAGCAAAAAGGAGCTAAAATTCATGGCAATATAAAAAGCAATTATGCATATTTCCTAGCTAGCTAAATCTATTTGGTTATAAGTTTAGGGGAAGGAAAGAAGTAGACATTTGGATAGTGAGAGATGTACCAAAAATTTAACTAAATCTCCTTGATTTAGAAATTTGAACAATTTTGATATGGGAAGAATAACAATATTACTTAATATGTTGTTATTGTATACCATACAGTTAGAACCAACCCACAGCAGACGCTCAGACAGGTTTTCAGAGTCAGTTAATCACATAGGAGGAGATTGCCCATCCTCTCAGGAGCAGCTGGTGGCCTCGAACTGCATGCCTTTGGGTTTGCAGCACAGCTTCTTGCTACTAGGTCATCAGAGCTTTTAGCTAAACAAAAATTACATAAGTGGAAATTTCCTTTATTGTTTTGGAGATAATTGTAACATGTATTTGCTGTGATGGATTCACAGTTAGAAAAGTAGAAAGAAAAATAAGTTATAAGAAATCTCTAACTATGGATATAAGCAAATTGCGTGTGTGTTTCTGTATTCATGTATGTACAGAAATTATATACATTTGTGTTTTTTTTAATGGTTCATACTAGAAACATTTCTTAGCCTTTTTTCATTAGAGCCAGAAACTTTCAAGAGAAATAAACCCACACTCCAGGTACAATAAACATTCAGATTTTAGTCACAAAATCAGCATTCCTGCTACTTAAATGGTGATCAAAGAGTTGGAGTAATAATAACTATGAGGTCCTGTAATATACTCTGAACTGTCACACATAGATGTTCTGTTTTATTCCTAGAGCAAGTTGGAAGGCACAGAAGTCTTTCTAACTATATAGTTGAACTGTTCTGGTTGTGCACTTTCCTGCACTATCCCCAGATTCTGAAAGAAACCTGTGCAACTTTTTGCTTTACTTTAAGCTTGACTCATAGCACTAACTAAAGTCCAACTTTCTTAGGAAAGAATACAGAGACTCCTGTTGCCTACTTACCAGGCTTCATCTGATAACTCTTTTACATCACAGTAGCACAAAACTATGCATCTCCTTCAGTTTACACACATCTGACTTTGTAAGCTGTTCTATCCAAAAATCCACCTTCTTGGTTCCTATCCCACCCCTCTTTTTTAAAACCAATTTCTTTAAACCAACTCCATATGAATGTATATATTTTTACGGCAGCACATATTTGCCTATTGTAATTTCTGGTCATCTCTCCTATTGGCAGTTGCCATTAAGTCACTTCTTACTCATTGTGAAATTAATCCATGTCTATATAATAATTTTGTATGTGGTTGCTGTGTGCTGACCCATAGCAGATCCTCTAGCAGGTTTTTAAAGGGCAATTAATCACACGGGAGGAGACTGCCCATTCTTCTCCCACAGAACAGCTGGTGGATTTGAACTGTATGCCTTGAGATTGCAGCACAGCTTCTTACCATTTGGCCACCAGCTATTCTGACTCATTGTGATCCCATATACAACACAATACTGCACAGTTCTGCACCATATTCGCAATCATTGCATGTTTGAGTTCATTGTTGCAGCTTCTTTAACAATCCAAATAATTGATGCTCTCCCTTTTTTTCTAAAGACCCCCTACTAAGTATAATGATACTATTCCAGGGACTAGTCCCTCCTAATAACTATCCTAAGTACATGAGGTGATGTCTCTTCATCCTTACTTCTAAAGCTCATTCTGGCTGTACTTCTAAAGTAGGTTGGTTTGTCCTGCTGGCAGTCCATGGTATTTTTTTTTTTAAAGAATTGAATTCTTTATTTGCGATATCCATAAACGTTGCTATTCTATAGTTCTATCCAGGAAGGCAATTTTCTCCTATAATCATTTTGTTTCCTTTTTTATAAACAACAACTTGAATTCTATTGCATGAAAGGGCTACAAATATACATTTGTTAACCAAGCAGAATACAGATAGTTTGCTTTACAACTTGCACCTAGTGTACCAGTACATGTTTCTGGTTCATTTGTTGTCATAGCAATTTGGGGCTACAGCCCAAGCTATGCATAGCAGTTTACATTTTCAGAACTCAAGAATGGGAAACTGTGATATAGACTTAAACTATACTCCTGTGATGCCCATCTCAATTACAAGTAAATGTGTAAATCCAAAGTCTGCACAGATTTTTTTTTATAATAAAACACTCAAATCTGATGCAATTGTCCTAAGCAAGTTTTTAAACAAATTGTTTTGCAGATATACTGCCATTCTGCCGGTAGATGGTGCTACAAAGGTTGAGGGAAGTCCATGGTATTTTTAATACTCCTAACACTAACGGGTAGGAAGCAGGAACGGTATCCACTTTCTAAACAACAGGCCTTTGGAGACTCTATGAACTTTGAGAACGATGATAGTTGTAAAAATGCTTCAGGTCTTTTGTTCATGAGATCGCTATGAGTTGTGCTCAATTCCATGGCAATCAACACCACCACCATAGGGAGCTCTGGTGGTATATTACATAGGGAGTTACACAGCTAACTCAAAGGCCAGATTCAAAGACTGTTTGAATCTACCAGAGGCTTTCTGGGTGAAAGATGCTCAATCTTTTCCAGTGCAGTCATCATCTCTGGAAACCTGTGGGTCAGCAGTGAGCTGGTTGCAACTTGACAACAATGAGTGGTTTTTGAGAGTTTTTTCTAACATTATAGTTCAAAGGAATGAATTCTTTAATCTTCTTTATATATTGTCAGGTTTTGCATACATACGAAGTGACTTAAAATATCCTAGCTTGGATCATGTTCTCCTTAGTCATCAAAGTAACAGCTTAACACTTTGAAGAGGTCTTTTGCAGCATATTGATTTCTTGACTGCTGCTTCCACTGGTGTTGACTGTTGATCCAACCAAAATGAAATCCTTCATAATATCAATCTTTTTCTCCATTTATCATTATGTTGCTTACTGACCCAATTATTAAGATTTTTATTTTCTTTATGTTATTGGTATTATCTATATTGAAGGCTTTGCTCTTCATCAGTGCTTCAGGAGCTCCCCCTACAAGCAAGGTTGTATCATATGCATACAGCAAGTTGTTAATGAGTCCTCCTTCAATCTCACATGGCTATCCTGATAGCCCGGCTTCTCAGATATTTTTTCAGCATACAGATTGAGTGACTATGGTGAAAGGATACAATCTTGACACACAGCTTTCCTGATTTTAACTGCATAGTATACACTTTGTCTGCTTGTACATTTCCCTCGTTCTGTGTACAAGGTCTTCATGAGCACAATTGAGCGTTCTGGAATTATTCTTTCCAATGTTATCTATAACTTGTTATGATTCATACAGTCTAGAGCCTTTGTACCCTATGAAACTAGACAAACGATAAAAGTTAATACAAGTGTTTAGTTCATAAGGTCACTTTGAGTTGTCTATGACTCGATGGCACTTAACAACAACAACAAGAAGGAGAGAGCTTTGTTGGCCTAGTGGACAGAAAGTGATGCTACCAAGCCAAAGGTGGGTGATTTTAATCTATGGCCTTCAGGCCTGGTTTTGTTTTTAGTCAAACATTATTTTAAATGGCACAGCCCTGGTCTGTCCATTTGCTGTACAGAGGTAACTCATGGTTGCTTTGATGCTGAACACTGTGACACTGATGTGTCAATGTGATAATGGTTACCCATGGTGGACACCGTTTGGTGGAGCTCCTCGATTAAAACAAGCATGGAATCAGGAGTGGCATCCACTTCTGAAATAGCTTGCTTCTGGAAGCTCTGTGAACTTGGAGAAATGATGAAAGTTATACAAGTGTTCAGGTCTTCCATTCATAGGGTTGCTATGAGTCGTTTATGACTCGACAGCACTTAACAAGTAACTGTGTACAGTCTAAACACAGGTAAACATTATTCTGGTGCTCTTCATTTTCAGCCAAGAGCTACTTGACCTCAGCAGTGATATTCTTTATTCTATTCTTCTGACACTGGCATGAATTTAAGATAATTTCCTGTTAATATGCTACTAAAATAATTTCTGCATTATCATTGATATTCTTGTGTGTGATAATGATTTTTTTCTCTAATTTCCACATTCTTTTAGGTCACATCTCTTTGGAATATGTACAAATACAGATTTCTTCTAGTCAGTTCTACATTTCTTGCTATAGGTAGATGAGTACTTCCCACATTGCAGTCTGTTTGTGGAAGTATCTCAGTTGGTACTTCATGTTTCTGGAGTCTTGTTCTTCACCAATGTATTCAGACATTTTCTTTCTGTACCATTGATTCTTCTCAGAGTTAGCTACAGTTTGTTGTGGTTCACACAGTCAAAGGCCTTTGCATAGTCAACAAAACACAGATAGAATTTCCTCTGGTACTCCCTGCTTTCAGCCAAGATCCATCTAACCTTAGCTACAATATCCCTAGTACCATGGCCTCTTTTAAATCCAACCTGCACTTCTGACAGTTCTCTGTTGATATGCTGTTCCCGTCATTTTGGATACGCTTTAGCAGTATCTTACTTGCATGTGATATTAATGATATTGTTAGATAATTTCCACAATCTGTGGGATCACCTTTCTTTGGAATGGAAACAAATATAAATCTCTTCCAGACAGTTGGCTAGGTGATTGTCCTCCAAATTTCTTGGCACAACTTCCCAGAACACTTGATTGTGTT